CTTTTGGCTGTTAAAGCTATCTGAGAAGTAATTTCCAAAAACAAAATATGTTGCTGAAGCAGGTAGGATTTCATCTATGTAATCGTAGAAATCTGATTGTAGAAAATATTCTATGTGGCGGGGGAATGCTCAAATTTGAAGCAAAATTTTGCTACAACTGTTAGAGCGCTAAAACATGTCATTATAAGATATGAGATATGCCGCTCATACTGACTTGATTTGAGCTATCTAATAACTGCCAGCCAAAACGTTTTACAAAAGCAAGGAATACGTTATTACCGAACGCTCAGTCAGGGTAAAGATAATGGTAAAGTATCAGAAAGTCACTCCTACGATTCTGTCATGCTCGTGAGCGCCTCATTTTTTGTGGGTATCACAAAATCATCGCCACTGCAAGGTCAGTTTTGGGAAGGTGGTTGGTAGGATCACTTGAATGAAAATGCACCTATGACTCTCACTACGAGCAGTAACAAAATCACTAAATATTTCAAGCATCCCTATAAATGTTTTAGAAAAATTTGCAGATTATGTATTCCGATTCCTGGCCGACTAGTACGGCAAAGTAGCATACGGTTGTAGAAAATTTCAAAAGAAATCAGGTCATGACCACCCTGCAGTCTTACTTACACCATAACCTAAAACGCTTTTGATGACTTTCGCGGGTTCATGAACACACACCTATGTGAAAACAACTTAGCACTTAAGAATGCTCTTTGTTAAGCCTTTTGTGACATTTCTTTACTACTTGTTAATCGCCCCATCTTAGGTATGTAAATGGCTTACTGAATCAAGGAACTTATTTCAAAATCTCATTTCAATTATTCAATCTGGCCACCCATAATCGTAATCAGGTACCTAAACGCACGATCTTTATCATATATGGCGCAATCTGTCTCCATCATTTGATCCACTGTCAGTTCTTTAGAAAATTCAGGTAAAGCTACATGAACAAAGCATCCACAATTCTATATTCAGATTTTCACACTTTAAGTTTTCAACCACAGCAATTAGAAATTCTAGAGCTCAAGCCAATTAAAATACTTGAAACAGCTTGTTTGCTGTTCACGTAGTAAAACATTGCACTAGCATAATCGACAAAACTTTATTCCCTATGTTTTCATGCTCAACTGGCATTGTTTATCGAATCAACATAATGATCCCTTGCTTTGATCTGAGTTCCACCAGAAATATATCCCCTTCTGCGGATGAAAACTTTTGTAGAACGTTGTGAGATCCACTAACGCTTACGTTTTCTTGATATTTTTGTGATCAAGCAAGATATACATTCCTAGCAGGTTCAAAAGTCGTGGCAGGCGCGCTTTACCTTCGTCAACACTTGTGAATATGTTATTGTACCTCTTCATTCGAACGACTTTTTGTGGACGTCGCTCAAAAACAATGATTGTCTGATAATAATGTAATATGCTTCAAGCCGTACCCTTAAAAAATCGGTCTAGTGAATAGGCATAAATCACTTCACCAACCACACAAGCTCGAGTGCTAGTCACCGAAATTTCAGAGGGTCGAGTTAAATAACTTGTGGTGTTTTCTTATTCGGAGTCGATTCTTCTATAGAGAACTAAATTTCAAAGGGAACGGCTGAACCGAAAGAGACTGCGCTACTGACGAGTCGCAGAGGACAAAACAGGCGCATGTCTAGCCTTTATCAAACCTGACAAACGGCTCAAATCAACGTTATGTCAACATGATATTGATGGAACCATAGCGACTGCTGAGACTAATTCACTCTTCCTAATAGAAATGTCGTATCGTTCTGAATAAAGAATACATGTTACAGAGGAGAGCCCTTTTGGTGTATGCCGCATCGCGATGCCTTAACACTACAGACACAATGCGACGACTGACCATCGACGAGATCTTGTTGTTTACAATTACATTCGTGAAGATTTGACCCTTTTATGAATGAAAAAGTGTCCATCGCTGTCACATGGATTGTCATGAGGGCAGTGGATACATTGGCACAATAACCAAGTTGTCATTAGACTGCAGAACTCACACTGGGTTCGAAGTTTCTAAAAAATCGGTATTGTTCAAACACTACTTAGATGAGCAAAGATCATATTGCGACTCATGAGGAACCTTTCCTAATGATGCGCTCCTGAGCCTTCGGCTTCTTCAGATTCATGAAGAATCGAGTTTAATGTCTATACACATTTATTCTTCCAAGACGGTTCTTCGTTGCTGAATCGGGTCGTTTATGCGAGGAGTAGGCCTGCAAGAAAGTGATCCATGCAGATTTCCATTCTGCCGCCCAAAACTGTAAGTGGGACGGAAGTTAAAAGTGCAAGTCAGAGGTCACAAATGGATACGGAGTTCTTAGTCGCACCATATCTACAATGCGTAAAAGTCGCGGCTAAATTATTATCATTGCAACAATTCTTCTGCACCAGGTTGTGAGGGCCACAAGAAACCATTCTTTCATTTCATCTCCTCGTGATCGTCAACTGTGTCTGCAGTCTGCTCAGATCATAATCACGTTTGGAAAGAGTCATCGCCAAGCAATCCTTCTCTCACCCATCGCTTGTCAGCTGGTCAAACGTCTCTGCTTCTATCTTGACCCATGCATCTTGATTTGTGGAAGAAAGGATAATGCCAGAAATTGTTCAATACGTCGGCGAACTAGGTGATATGTCTGCAAGTTTTTGTCACAAAACGGCTAGTTAATCTGCTCGGCCGTGATTGAAGTTTTAACCCATTACTCAGCCCCATCTTTGCTTCAGCATTTTAAAGCTAGAAGCAACATAACGTTAGGATGACGCTTCAGGACAACTATAAATTCTATAAGACAGAATTTGTCTGCAAGCGCTTCAAGATGTCACCCATTTAAGCAATTCAGTCATGCAAAAGCAGTGCTGAAGTAAGCAAAAACTAGGCGAAGGTTCCAATGTACTAGAAGCCTAGGAAATTAAGCATGGCGTGGTGCAATAATAGTTAGAAGTCCATTCAAGGTTTGAATGTTCAGTGGATTCGATAAGTTGCAGAGTAACCGAACAGATTATCATTTACTTGTCTATCCAGGAGCAGAAGCAATCAAGTGCATTTTGGTGTAGATAGTGGAGAATTATTACCAACATGATGAATACCAAGACACCTACAGCCACCAGTGACAGGTGGCGCTCTGGAAATGCGACTTACTGCGTACACACGTAATTATCATTGCAAATTCGCATACCCCCTTCTGTCTTTTTCTTCATTTCATATGTTCCTTGAAGGCCAGTTCTTACATCGGTCGCCATTGGCAACCATATGAAAGTTATTAACAGGCCTTCGTTAAAAATTATTTTTTTGATCATAAAGAATGGTATGTTGTCATCTTCGTAGCACCTTGATGCTGGCATATATTTCAAGACGTGGAGGACATGCCGCTCCCCACCCATGAGCTTCAAATGGCTGTCTCTATGTTTACGAAAAATGATAAAAATGCACGTAAAGGCTAATTCAACACAATACAAACAGTGTGACCATTTACGGAATCCACACGCGTCCAAAGCAGACAAACTGTGCAATTCGACATGTCTATATAATTATTAATGCATCAATAAGAATAAGGCATGGAGAACTATCTTAGCAGGACATCAACAAATTAAATATATATATATATATATACATATATACATATCTATATATATATATATATATATATATATATGGATAGATAATAGCTATAGGCATGAAAGGACGAAAGGATAAAGCTTTCGGCGTTGATCAATCTCTGAGGGATGCGCTATGCACTCGTCTTCAATTTCTGACTTCGTTTGAGTTGATTTAATGCACATCTGGCCTTTACAATGCTCGCGGTGGCCTCCAGCTGAACCGAGTTGGTGCTCCTTATCCTCCCAGACAAGTCTGAGAACAGTCTGGTAACAATTTACTGATATCTGAGGGATGAATGGCTCTGTGAGCCATGAGCGCGAGATCGAACCATTGACCTCGTGTGCGACGCAGAGCACCTCTAACCACTGCACCAGGTGCTCTTTTAGCTATAGGCATATATATATATATATATATATATATATATATAAACCAAAACTACTTTATCACGCATGATGCGCTTTGCACAGTAGTAGCAAATCAATGAGTGGTTATATGATGGTGAATGTATACGTTATACCGCTCTACGAATTAGGAATGTCAGAGTTGGTAGTTCATGCTCAACGATCTAGAAATCTGCTTTTACAAATTCAGTATCCAAAGTTGTTCTAAAACTACTTGGAAACTTCTTGAGTTACTTGGCGAAGATACGGTTGACGAGGAGACACTGCAACCTTGCTTCAGAAAACTTCCTTTCAGTGGTTTCGGCCTTGAAGATGACTAAGCTCGTAGACGTCTTTCTGCTATTGCTGACGCTTAACAGGAGATTTTGGTGGAAGAGAACTCTAGCACATTTGTTGAAGAACTTTCGGTTAAACTCTAAGAAAGGCTCTCAACTGCTTAAGAACATCTAAGCATAATTCATAGGTTGAAAATCTCAACAAAAGACGTCGCAGGAGTTGGAAAGTATTGTGCTATCAACGTTGACTTTATTTCGTACAATCTAAACTACGAACGCTGTCCGAGTAGGACTCTCCACAAATATTTTGCTGCAAACATAGAGCAGTAATGTGGTGGTAAACAGAAACAGAGAGCAGAAATGTCAGCACTGGCATAATCAAAAAGAGGCTTCGTGAGAACGAACATGTATTATATTTCAGAGGAAATAATATCTAACAAACTATTCCATCTACTTCATATTAACACCGCATCCAGAAATCAAATTATACGTGACACCCTTCGAATTGAATGTGATGATTTCTCAAGCCGAATAAATGCCTTGGCGCGCGAACTCTGTTTTCTTTCGAGTCTCACATATATTATATAACTCGGTATATTGAGGTATTTCATCATATAAGACTGAAAAAATCCATTGTTATTACTGTTTTCTTTGCAGTGTCATAATGTTTCATATACACCTAAAAGAATTGATTGATGAGCAAAAGCACGACCTTGGACGGGAGTCGAGCCCGTGTTTAATCTATACCGGAGACGCATACTACCACTGCACCACCGAGGTACATCGACACCACCACTCATTCTTCAAAACGCGGGTTCTACTCCCGTCTAAGATTGTGTTTTCGTTCAATACTCAATTCTCTTAGGAGCAATTTCAGATTCTTTCATCGCAATTTCGAGTTGAGTCTATGCTTTTCGCTGTTTTACCTCTAAATGCTAATCACCTCATTGTCGGTAGTTCTTCATGGATAAATATCTGGAGGTTATTATAAATGCGCATGTTGTAACTCTGGTTGCTTTACAGAAACAGAGAATTACTGGCAGGTAATTACCATAGAAACGTCAAGTATAAAAAGTCACTATCGGATGAGCTTATTTCACTCAAAAGATATTTCGCACTGGCAAACGCGACTCCGCACTTCGCAAAGAACACCTTTTGTGAACACTCACCTTGAATATAAATTCAACAATATAATCAAGATATTGGTGATTTTTGGCGAAGCTGATTGGGAACCAGTATGTTGAAACAAAAGCATATGTGCGTTGTCCTTGTGTAAAAAAGCTTTGCGCTTCATGGTCGTGATTGTTTATTGACTTCAGCCAGAGGAGCTCGATCAGCTCGCTATGCAATTCAGTCAGCAAAACGTAAATGAACGTCCACAACTGTACCAACCATTCTGCATTTATGTGCTGTATGCATGCTCTCTTGCTCTACATAATATTGTGGAGATTCGTAGCCAAAATTTTATTCAAAATATAGTATGCAGCATTCCACAAATGTTAAGATTTCACATGTGCAACCCATCTTTTCTAACCCCTTCGGATAAAGTTTTTAAAGTCTAGGGTTGTACATCTAAAAAAAGCCTGATATTTTTCGAATACTGCGACTTAAATATAGTGTTAGTCGGTGCCGACAGTTTTTGACAATGTAGACGCAGAATAAGATGGAGTTCCTTAAGAGAGTGTACGAAATTTCTATTATTTCAAGATCAAGAGTAGAAAACAAGCCCATAGTCCGCTTTAATATACGAGAAAGTCAACAAGCACAGAGCAATTTCACTACAGGAATGGTATGAGAATTTGTGTCCTTGAAAAGCCAAGCAAAATTAGAAAGAGATAGATCAATTGGTGAAATAGTTCAGATGTAATTACTGATACAATTTCTAACAGTTCCCAAGACCAACTGTATATTAACCTTGGCATGCTACAATAAAACCTAATCGATCTTCAAGCAAAACACAATGTCTTATATCTACCTTTATTCAGCAGCTGCCGTTTCGGCAGTTCGCCTTCTTTGGAGCCTGGAGAGGTCAAGTTTTTTGCAATCTAATTACTCAAACACCTCCATTTCTCCTTTAGAAAAAATCACCAGAAATGTATTTCAATCGCATCAAGCACTTGAAACAACTTTAAGCATACTCACCCCTTTCTTGTTTGTGTTCCACTGGATGATTATAGCGGAGATCACCAGAAGACGATCACATAGGCTTGCAATGACCCTACCCATCAAAACAACACTCTTATATACTGACTCATATCACTGGTGATCACGAGCCATTCCTCCTTGCCGTTTATAGTTGGATTGCTCGTGTTAATCTGAAATGCTTTCAAAATCTTAATTCGTAGAGCGATATAACGTATACGGTCAAAATCGTATTACCTCTCATAGATTTTCCACTACTGTACAAAGCGCATCATAGGTGATAAAGTCACTATCTATCCATATATAAATATAAATATATATATATATATTTGTTGGTGTTCACGAAGATAGTTTTCTATGCCTTATTCTTCTGATGCATTAATAATTATATAGAGATGCCGAATTGGACAGTTTGCCTGCTTTGGACACATAATTCCGTGAATGGTCACACTATTTGTACTGTGTTGGATTAACTTCTACCCTTACGTGCATTTTTATCATTTTTCGTAAACATAAAAACAGCCATTCAAAGCTGGTGGGTAAGGAGCGGCATGTCCTGTCGTCGTGAACTATCTGCCACTATCAAGGTGCTACGAAGATGACAACAAGCCATTTTTCATGATCAAGAAAGTAATTTCCCTGGACGGCCTGCGAATAACTTTCTTGTGGTTACCACTGGCGACCGACCTAAGAACTGGCCTTTAGGGAACATTCGAAATGAGGAAAAAGACTGGAGGGGGTATGCAAATTTGCAGGGATAAACACGTGTGCTCACAGTAAGTCGCATTTTCGGAGCGCCACCGTGTCACTGGTGGGTGTAGGGGGCTTGATATTGATCAAATTGATGCTAGTCCTCTTCTATCTCCGTAAAATGCTCTTAACTATTTCTGCTCTTAAGCGACAAGTGAATGATAATCTGTCCGGGAGACTGCAAATTATCGAATTCCACTGTACGCCTTATATGGACTCCTACCTATTATTGCACCACGCCATGCTTAGTTCGATATGAAAGATGAAGTAAGAATGGGGCCGAGTAATAGGTTAACACTTCAATCACGTCAGAGCTACTTTGCCCCTTCGACAGATTAACTAGTCGTTTTTTGCACACATATCATCTAGTTCGCCGATGTACTATACAATCTCTGGCGTTATCCTTTCTTCGACAAATCAAGATGCATGAACCAAGACAGAAGCACAGACGTCCGACCAGCTGACAAGCGATCGGTGAGAAAAGGAATGCGTGGCGATGACTGTTTTCAAACGTCATCATGGTCTGAGCAGATTGCAGCCACAGCTGACGATCACGAGTGGATGAAAGTAAGGATAGTTTTTTGTGGCCCTCACAACCTGGAACAGAAGAATTGTTGAAATAATCATAAATTAAACGCGACATCTATGCATTGGCGCAACTAAGAACTCCGCATCTATTTATGACGTCCCCGTTGCTCCTTTTCTTCCGTCCCAGCTAAAGTTTTTGGGCGGCAGAATTGAACTTTGCGTTCTTTGCAGGCCTACTCCTCGCATAAACGACCCGATTCAGCAACGAAGAACCGTCTTGGAAGAATAATTGGATATAGACAATGAACTGGATTCTCCATGACTCTGAAGAAGGCTAAGGCTCAGCAGCGCCATTATTAGGAACAGTTCGTTATGAGTTGCGATATGATCTTTGCTCGTCTATACATTGTTTGAATATCAGCGATTTTTTGGAAACTTCGAACCTAGTTTGAGTTCTACAGTCTATTAACAACACGGTTCATATGGTAATGTATGTATTGCCCTCATGACAATTTATATGACAACGATGGACACCTTTTGAATTATAAAAGGAGCATATATTTACGAACTGCAATTGTAAACAGCAAAATTTCGTCGATATTTAATCGTCGCATTGTGTCTGAAGTGTTTTAAGCAATCGCAATGCAGCATACACCAGAACGGCTCTCCTCTGTAACATATGTTCCATATTCAAAATGAGATCGACATTTCTATTCGCATGAGTAAATTAGTCTCAGCAGTCGCTATGGTTCCATCAATATCATGTTGACATAACGTTGATTTGAGCCGTTTGTCAGGTCTGATAAGGGCTAGACATGCGCCTGTTTTGTCCTCTGCGACTCGTCAGTAGCGCAGTCTCCTTCGGTTCAGCCGATCCCTTTGAAATATAGTTCTCTATAGAAGAATCGACTCCGAATAAGAAAACACCACAAGTTAGGTAACACGACTCTTTGAAATTTCGGTGACTAGCACTCGAGCTTGTGTGGTTGGTGAAGTGATTTATGCCTATTCACTAGACCGATTTTTTAAGGGTACGGCTTGAAGCATATTACATTATTATCAGACAATCATTGTTTTTGAGCGACGTCCACAAAAAGTCGTCGAATGAAGAGGTACAATAACATATTCACAAGTGTTGACGAAGGTAAAACGCGCCTGCCACGACTTTTGAACCTGCTAGGAATGTATATCTTGCTTGATCACAAAAATATCAAGAAAACGTAAGCGTTAGTGGATCTCACAAGTTCTACAAAAGTTTTCATCCACAGAAGGGGATATATTTCTGGTGGAACTCAGATCAAAGCAAGGGATCATTATGTTGATTCGATAAACAATGCCAATTAAGCTTGAAACATAGGGAATAAAGTTTTGTCGATTATGCTAGTGCAATGTTTTACTACGTGAACAGCAAACCAGCTGTTTCAAGTATTTTAATTGGCTTGAGCTCTAGAATTTCTAATTGCTGTGGTTGAAAACTTAAAGTGTGAAAATATGAATATAGAATTATTGATGCTTTGTTCATGTAGCTTCACCTGAATTTTCTAAAAAACTAACAGTGAATTAAATGATGGAGACAGATTGCGCCGTATATGATTAAGATCGTGCTTCTAGGTATCTGATTACGATTATGGGTGGCTAGATTGAGTAATTTAAATATGATTTTGAGATAACTTCCTTCATTCAGCAAGCCATTTACATACCCCTTAATCTGTGAACTTTCCCAAAACATAACTGGCAGGCTTGGAATATGCAGTGATCTTGTTATTGCTCGTAGTGAGCGTCATAGGTGCATCCTTATTCAAGTGATGCTACCAACCTCCTCCTCAAAACTGACCTTGCAGCGATCATAATAACAGGAAGATATGAGGCGTTGAGAGCATAAGAGTATGGTAAAACAGACCTTCTGGTACTTTTTCGTTATCTTTAACCTGATTGAGCGCTTCGCTAAAAACGTATTTTTTATTCTTGTATGACGTTTTGGTAGTCATGCGACGGTTCAAATCAAGTGGATTTGGACGGCATATTCTATTTCTCAAGTGACTTGTTTAAATGCTGTAACAGTTGAAGTAAATTTTTGCTTCAAATTTAAGCATTTTCTCGCCATATATAATATTTCTTATAATCAGATTTATACGATTACATAGAGGGAATCGTACCAGTTTCGACAACATATTCTGTTTCTGGAAGTGACTTCTCAAAGAGCTGCAACACTTAAAAAAAAATTAAGTTTCGCACTCTATGGGACACTTCATATTGGCTAGGGTGTGTGTACTAGCTGTATGTCAGTCGGCCGCACGATTCACATGTGGACTTTTTCACAAAAATTAGGACTGTCTCTGATATTTCAAAATAATCTCAAC